TTAGATGTATGAGGCATACAGGATCCCAGCCACCTACAACCTGAACAGAGCTACACCCAGGCATATAATAATCAAAATTACAGAAATCCAATATAAGAACAGAATATTAAAAGCTGTCAAAGATAAGAAACAGATCACTTACAAGGGAATACCCATCAGAATTACAGTAGACTTCTCGGCACAAGCCATCAAATCACGAAGAGCATGGGGGGGAAATAATTCAAGCTTTGAAAGATAATAATCTCCAGCCAAGATTGATATATCCTGCACAACTGTCCCTAGAAATTGATGGAAAAACAAGGTGCTTCCAGGATAAAGAGGAACTAGGGGAATATGCAACCACCAATTCAACTCTACAGAGAATACTGCAGGATATTCTAAAAAAGAAAAATACCAAGAATCCAGAAATAGTTGCAGAGAGGCCACAATGAATGGAGCAGAAAGCAAAATGAAGAGGACAAACTGACAACTAATGACAGAAAAAGAGCTCAACAGAAATGAGGCAGAGGAGGTTGGATGGTAGGAACAGCCATTTTGGAGAAAACAAGACATCATAATAGGTAGTGCTGATTTAATATCCTCTTGTTTTGAAGTCCCATCAAGCTTTTGTTCTTCTGTCTTCATCGGTTTTAATGTGTTGTATCTTATTGGATTTTATTTATGTGATAATATAAACAAAAACTTTTATAGACAAGGAGGTTATACAGAAACCATTGTTCGTTTTCTGTTAGTTGATTCTAAATACCCTGTAATACTGTCATTCTCTTGAAGAGTTTTACATTGTCTTGATATGTTTGATGCTACAGTATACGAAGTTATACCCAAAGATTTTAAGGGAAGAGACACTATGGTAACTACTGTTATGTCAAGATTATCTTGTGGCGAAACACTATTTTGCTTAAATGGCTATGTTTTGACCTGTGCTGTTTTGTTGTTATGCCCTCTTTTTTATCTCAATCTCCTTTTTATTATCTACTTTTTCATTTTTATCCTTTTAATTAAGGGAAAGGTAAATAAAAAATAGCAGGATATATTATAGTAACCCACTTTGATTTCCTACTAACTTGATTTGAAACTCTGTATGGCTCTCACCATCTTGTTTTGACTGATTTTCCTCTATTCTGTTTTGCTTGATAGTTTGAAAGTATAGGCAACAACTATGAAGACAATAAGATTCATTGTGATGCCCATTCTGGTTGACTATTATCTTCTTTTGAAGTCCTCTAATGTCTCCAATGTTTTGGTTTTATTGGTCTTATTCTTTACTGTTTTGTTCAATTTTATTATAACTGATGATGTAGGCAATTCTTTTTAAGATAACAAGAGGCATTATGGTAACCATTGTTGATCACCTTTCTTTATTTTGTTTTTACATTATGAATTATGTCCATCCTTTTGATTTGACTGATTCTGTCCTGGTATGTCACATTTGGTTTTACTTTCTTCAAAAAAAAAAAAAATGTAATAAGAACTGTGAGAGTAATAAAACCCAAAATGTGTAATTGTCATTGTACAAAAGAAAGGAAAAGAAAGTTCTCTAAAAGACATAACTGCATATATATTTAAGTGTATAAGATAGATAACCATATTACTGAGTTTTTTTGGATCATTGAACAAAACTGTTTGCAGTCTCACTGTTTGAAAGTCCCCTCTATATGCTTTAATTTTGTAGCTTCAACAACTATTTCTAAGATGACAATATGTAATTAACTAGTAATTACCTATTATTTTTTCTGAATTCTGTATAACTTGTACCCTTTTTCTGGTTTTTTTTTTTCTTTTTTCTCCTTAAATAAAATTTAAAAAAAAGGAGGGCACTTAACATATGGCACAATAATATTGAAAATCTCAAGTTAAAGAGATATGAGAAAAGACATATGCAGGAAGGTTTCTATGCACCTTCATGCATTTTTCTCTTAGAACCAAATCATAAAACCTCTTTCAGGAGGGCTTTTCTCTCTCTGTAATCAAAGTTTAGAGGCTCAGAGAAGAATCTTAATGAACAGGCCTTGATAAATTTCCCCTATTTTATTATATTTAGTATATACATTGGTTAATATTTTCACATCGTCTCATGTTTCTCTAAGATGTTCAGTGCTTCATCAAACAACATTTATTTTAACATATATAAATTTTAAAAACCATGAAAAACTCAGGTTTAGCAGTTTCTTCAAGTTTTAATTTTCTGAGTGACTTGTGTCTTGTGACTTGTAAGCAAGTCACACAAAACTTACATTAAATATCTGTGTGTGCTTTTCTTTTGTTGATCATATTTTGCTACAGAATCTCCAGTCAGTGAAACTCAAATGAGTGAAAAGAGTAACATTTTTTGCCTTTCATACATTGCAAACACTCCAACACCAAACGGAAGTTATATGTACAATTGGAACCTAAGAAGGTCTTGGGAGCACAGACAGCATGAAGATCTTGCTCCCACTCTCATTTCCTTGTTATTCTCAGTGAAATTTTCTCCCTCTCGTATCACAACAGTGTTCATAGAATTCCAGAAATTTAAACTCAATTTATCGATGACACCATGTGTATGTGAATTCTGTCCAAACATAAACACCCTGATAGGACCACCATGTGCAAACGTCTCCACAACACCATGGAAAAGGAAATGTGTTCTACGGAACAGAATTTCAACCAATACATCTGGGTAAATTTTAACAAGATATAGCCAGAGACATGGATCCAAGAAGATGTATTTTTATTTTCCCCTTCTTTGACAAGCAAAAATGAGGAGCTGACCCCTGAATATCTACTAGTATACTCTGGTTGAGGGTCTGAAATTGTGAGATCTATGAAAACTATACAAATACACAATATAACATTGAAAATCATTTGTGTCACTTGTAGTAGAGTCAAGGGACAAGAACGACTGAAGCAACAATAAGAGCCTACTGAAGATGAGTGAAATTCTAACCAAGCAATTGTTCTGGCTTATCTGAAGACATTGTATAAGGCAAGTTCTGGAGAATTCCCCTAAATTTGGAAATCATTGGAACACTATTCTTTTATTTAAGGTAACTGGAGTTAATTTGAATTTTGAAAACTAGAAGTCACATACACTGTAATCTGCCTCTGTGCATTAAAACAGCTCAAAACTTTTATTCATAAGTTGCAGAGATTCTTTGCTTGACCAAACTTTATTCTGAGTACTAAAGCTTCTGCCCAATTCATCTGTGAATTTCTTTGTAAATGCAGTTTTAGCAAAGATCCTGTTTAAACATTTGAGCAAAGATCCTTCTGCCTCTGATCTTGATATCTGATTGCTTTCAGCATGTGATCTGATTCTTGGTTCCTCACCATCTTCCAAGTGATACCTGAACAGTCTTGTCCCAGCAAGGATCCTGGTAAATAGGTTAGATGGAATCTTTCCTTGCTTGTGATGTTTCTGCCTACTCATTTTCCATCCACTTAGCATTTTATTACTCAGTTTCCCATGACTATAACGAGACATCAGAAACAATTAGTATACAAAGAGGAATGTTTTGTCTCATGATTTTGGAGGTCCCAGGTCAAGGTAAGTCAGGTCTATTGTTTTGAATCTGTGATGGACATACCAGATAGTGATGGTGATGAGAACTGCTCAGCTCATGAACCAGGAAACAGAGTAAAACAATACCAGAGTCCCACACACTCTCAAGTGTATGCTACCAGCCTCCTAAGATCTTTCACTAGGGACTACCTCCTTAAGGTACCACTCACATCAGTGCCACTCTAGAGACCAAAACTTTAATGCACGGACATCTGAGTGATGCTTATCCTAAAAGTTTACACTTACTGGATTCAGACTTCACCTGTCTCTCTCCATTACTGCAAAATACCATTGCAATGGTCCCCATATCTATGGCAGCAGTCTCTCACAAACACCGTGAATAAAGTCTGTCTTACCGTATTTAACAAGCATTAGGAGACTGCTGAGTGAATAGGGGGGAAAAAGCATCATAAATAGTTTTTTCTTTGACACAAAAATATGCTGTTTGAATTTAATCCCAGGTCTATCCAAAAAGTAAAATATCTTCACTTTCAACATATGAAAGTACAATTATGTACAGTGCTTTGTTTTAACAGCTAGATTGACATTCTGTGATTATGTTTTGTGAAGAAAACAGTCGTAGTTAATAACAACTTTCCATAAATTGTAATGCACTAATAAATTATTTGTATGTATTTAATAATATAATGTGGAAAAATTGATATGTGAGTAGATACTTTCTAAAGTGTTATAATTATATATTAACTGGTTTATGTATGAGATTATCTTAAGGGGAATATAAAGAATTGTTAGAATATTACTATAGTTGAAATACAGTGGAAATTAATATTTAATTCACACAATTTAATTGGCTTTAACATGACAAATAGTCTAAGTTTACTAGTCTGGCAGGACTGGGAAATAATCATTAAGCAATAAAATCAAATTTAAATGCATAATTGTAAAGTAATAATAACATTTAGTTTTAATAATCTGAAACATACTCATAATTACTACTTGTATTTATTCACATCTGGATCAAAAACTTAAATCAACTTAAGGAAAAATAGGACATGACCAAGTTCCCTTTTGTTCTTTTCACACTTCTGAGCTTTTGTAGTTATTACTACTTATTATTATTTGAAGAAACCAGGCCTTTGGTTTACTTTTAACTTGAGAAAGACCTTTCTGAATCTGTGAATGGAAAACTTAATTGAAAATTTCAGAGCATCATTTAACATTTCAATTATTATAATTATATTTGTTAAGAAGTCTATGGATCCAGTCCAATGTTTGAATTACTCTGTGTTCAGAGAATTTAAATATGAATGTTGAAGATACTGCTCATCACTGAGCCAATAAAGGCTCATAAAAGGGAACAAATGATTGAAGGTGATTGTGGTCATTGTCAATGTCAATGAACCTGGAAATAGGAAATAGACCCTTAAAAACAACCATGTTTGCAAATTTGTGAATTACTGACACAAAGATAGTAATAGATGAATACACTACTAATAAATTCAACTTTAGCATTCCATCATTTTATTGAATTTTGACATACATAAATGTTACATTCCATGTGTGCTTATATATAATGTCGATATTACCAAAAATGTTTACAGCTTTCTAGTTTTCATAAAGAAAACAATGAAAATGCTATGAAGAATTTTTCTCAATCTGCATCTCAGTCTATATTTGAACACAGGGTGGGAGGGATAAGAAATAACAAAGAACAGTCAGTTTTCTCTTAAATCTCCAAACATTCAATTAAAATAATATAACTGATAGTTGTTCTCCACAAAAAATTTTCTAAAGATGGTGGACCATGTCCAAGTTTCCCATAAGGCATTTAATAAATAGGAATGAGAGAGATGGAAGAAGAGACCAAGATGAAGTAAGAAAATGTTTTAGAGAAGCAAATTACAAGGGTTTTGTTCAAAGTAAACATAAAAATGTGACACTTATTTTAAACAGTTTTATACATAAGTAATAATGTCTGGGTTTCTCATTGGAGAATAACACAACTTACAAACATTCTTACATCAAAATTTAAGCACTAATTTTGTCTACTTCAGAATCTAAATTAAAACAAGCCTTGATTGTGATTAGATACCGATGCAAATGAGTGCGCCAGTCTCATGGATATGCTTATTCAAATCCATAGAAACATGCTGCTGTGTCTGTCGTGTAACTTTAATGGGGTTTGTATGAAATCATTAAGGTACAATTAAAATTATTACATGAAAATCATTTCTGAAAGGATCTTTCAAATTCCAACCAAAATACTTAGGATTAAAGAAAGGAAAATATATTACAATTTGTCTTTTTGGAATATAAGACTACTGCCACTATATGAAGAAGTTAGCCTATAATTACAATGCTTAGAAATTAATGAAGAAAATACCCAGCTTCTTTTTCAAATCTAAAATGAATCTGCTTCACAGAGGAGGGTAGAAAAATGTTTCCTCCTTCCTCTGCTGCCTGCAGGAAGGCAGAACCTTCCAAGCTGAAACGTTAACCCCTTAAGTGCTGACAAATAGTCAATTTTTGAGAGAAATACCACCTATCTATTACTTGGATATTCAGTTTTCTATGTCATGAAGGTGTATAATTTCTCTAATATTTAAAGCATGTTAGACAAAGACAAAATTTGAGTTGACTAATAGTAGGTTATTAATGCTGTTATAAGAAATCATCAGCAATTTATATTCTTAAAGAAGCAACACAAATTTAATATCTTACTTCCTGAAGGTCAGGTATCTGACAAAGGTTTCACTGGCTGAAAAATTAAGGTAATGGCAGAGTCAGATTCCTTAATGTAAGCCATGAGGTAGAATACATTTCTTTATCCATTCTAGCTACTAGATGCTGCCTGTAGTCCTTGGTTTGTGGCCTGCTTCATGTTTTAAGAGCCAGCAATGATGATGAGATGACTACGTTCTTATCACTCCAATCTTATTTCAACATGACATCTCTTGCTGACTGAAATTCTGCCATTTCTACCTCCTTCTTCCATATTTAAATAACCATGTGATTCCACTAGGATAATGAAGTATACTGAAGTATATTCAGAAGTGTAATGAAGAGAATCATAATTTAAGGTTACCTAACAAATAATGATTCCATCTGCAATCATAGTTCTTCTTTGTCATGTCACCTATTTGCAGATTCTATAAATGTAGGTGCTGACATCTGTGTTTGGGAAAGGGGTATGTTATTCTGCCTACAAAACAACATAATATTACTTTCTGGAAACTATTTGTAGAAGTACACAATGAACATAAGCTGAAATTCTACGAAAAGAAAATTCTGAACATTATCAGTGTACTTCAGTAGTGGATTGTAGAAATAACACAAATAAGAAAATCTTAACCACTTCAGGCCAGCCAAGTCATGAGATACATTGCAAATAAATACTGAAGTAAGGCTATGGATAGAACTTCTGCAAGCATGGTGATTATGATTGGAATCTAAAATGTCTACTCAAGAGACTCATTTTGATAAAAGCTTGATTCTGATGGGCTTTGGGCAAAGTAATTGCATTGCAATGACCACAGCTTCATTAGGGAACTAGTTGGTCTTCTGATGAGATCATAATTTGAGGGCAATATTGGAAGTGATGGAAACATGAGGTGGAGGCTTAGTAACAGGAACACAGTGTGACCTTGAGGACTCCATCTGGTTCCTGGCACTTCTTCTAGGGTTCTCTTACCTTCACTTCTTCCTGGCACCATGAGGTGAGCAGCCACACACTTCTACAATGATGTTGCTGTCTCATCATAGGTCTAAAACCAAAGAGCCAGATGATCATGAACTGAAACCTCTGAAACTATAAGCCATGACAAATATTTTCTTCTTCAAGTTATGAAAGGTGATTCTGTCCAGAAATGGAAAGCTATCTAATGCAATAGTACATTAAGCTAATTTTAAAAAATATCCTCACAATTCAAATGCAAACATGTATTCTGAATACAAATCAATTTAAAAGTTTTAAAATGTGTACCTGAAGATAAAAGGACGAGTAATGAAAGAAAGGGAAATACAGTAAAAGGAAGAATAGGAAAAAGCAAAAGAAAGAAATGAACAAGGGCCAGAAGGGAGAGGGAAATTCAAAGACTTTCAGCGAGAGAAAGCTGACAAAATCATGACTAATAAAGAGTTGACTTCACGTACAAGGAAGTTGAGAAGACGGGGTGCAGTGCTGTGCACTGGCGTGTGGTAAGACACTGGCTGTGGGACTGACTGGGCCCAAATGTGCTGTTTTCTTTAGTCCTTATGTTTTAAAAAAATGGGGAAAAATTCAAAACAAATGCTTTCTCTTACTTTTGGTTAGACAAGTAGGTTTCAAAGTGTACTCAAGAGGAAATAACACAAGCATTCATTTATGTGCAAATCTGGAGTATAAATCTGAAATATATTATTGATGCTGAAACATCATTCTATGAAATTAATATAAAATTGAGTTGGGAAGATAAGTAAATGAAGACTTTGGCCATACAAATATACATATATAGTACTTTTTACTAACAATTAAAAGACTCAAATAATAAGAAAAAGTAAAAACAAAACATTCATATTAAAAGGATCTAGAAAATATTTGGGAAAAAATGGCAGAGAAGCAAACAGAAGTCCAATATAGCTTATTTGAGCCATGGAGTCCAAACATAAGGAAATTAACAGCTTAATGAAGAGAAAATAAGTACTAAATTCAGACAGTGTTTAATCAGGAGCCATTTTGGGAAAGGGATGATTGTTCAAATCTGAGCCACTGAACCACTGCAAAAATCTTACTTCAGGGTTTTCAGTGTTACCTCAGTGTTTACGAAAGCAACAGCGATGAAAAAACAGACATTGAGAGTGAGGTGGACATACATCCTTTGAGACCTTTAAGCTTAGCCTAGGAAGGCCATGGCTCCCACCATGTGAGAAGCCAGGTACACTGTGTGTCACTATCAGACTCAGTGTGTGTCACTAATAGAAATGACTGGGCTTGAAAATGCTGACATAAGTCCAATATCTGCATGCAACCTTGTCCTGCTGTCTCTGTCCAGCAATGATCAGAGGTCAGGTTGTTTTGTCATCCACCAAAGTGAGCTGGGACAATTGCCACATCTTACAGTGCACATGCTGACACTCTCTACAATGGAGGGAACTTAACAAACCCACAAGGTAGGAAACTAGGTAGGAAAAACGGCAACTGGCTGAATTCCAACACTGCAGAACCTTCAAAGAAACCAAGTATTCAAAAATACAAAAGATTTTTTTCAACTTATTTCTCCTCCAACTCCTCCTCCTCCTCCTCCTCCTCCTCCTCCTCCTCCTCCTCCTCCTCCTTCTCCCCCTCATTCTTCTTCTGTTTCTTCTTCTTCTTCTTCTTCTTCTTTCCTTCTTCCTTGGTTATTTTAGGCTTTGGGGTTTTCTTTTTTCCTTTATATCTTTCTTTTTTCTTGTTTGTCCTTTTCAACTGTCTACCAAATTATATTAATTTCATTTTACTTCTTAATAGGATCTTTTATCACTTTGTTCTCTCCTTATTTTACTTTACTTAATTTTTCAAATATTTCTTCTTATATTTTCCTATTACTCATAATCTTTTTAATAGCATAATCAGTAAATTTTATTAATCTTTCTATCAAAAGATTAATAAAATTAATTCTATGCTATTAGAGTTGAACACATTTTTGTTGTTAATTGAGTTAAAGTTATTGAATCTAGTATTTAGGGAGACTTAGTGCCCAATTTTCTGAGTGCTTATACTATAATTTTTGTTTTTTATGTTTAAAGGTGACACACTGTTGGTTTCTAGGGTAAATCTATATCCAGTTTGTGTTTGAAACCATGATTGTTGATTGCTGCTGATTTAGTTGCTATTGCCAGAATTGCAGAGCTGTGGTTACTTATTAGTTTTCTCTAGTTGCCAATATCTGGATTGCCTTTGTGTCCCCAGCAATACTTGGATCTCTTCCAAGAGAGCTAGGTATTTGTGCAGTGTATCTTTCTCTCCAAACTTAATGGAAGGAGTGAGATCGTAGGACAGAGGCAAAGGTCCGTGGTTAGCCATGCCTAGGAATACATGTCTGAGAGTGAACAGAGTATACTAACTAAAGAGCTCTCCATACTAGAACCAGCTCTTTACACCATAATTCCCCACAAATATCAGTACAGACGATGATTAGAAATATGAGAAGACAAGGAAACAATATGTCTCTGAAAACTCTCAATTCCTTTAAAGCTAATCTCTGTGTATCAAGGGGGTGGAAAGACAGCTGATTTATTCAAAATGATACAAGGACTTTAAAAACACATCAATGAGATTATTGCCAAAGTCAAAGGACATACAATTAAACAGATGATGTACTTAATAAGATAATCAGTGACTATACATGATAGTCATATATAGATTTTAATAAAAATCTATATGAGCTAAGAAAAATGATATATAAATGATGAGCTTACCAAAGAATTTGAATCCATGAAACTTCATCAAATGGAAATCTAGTATGTTGAAAACTTTACTGAAAATATAGACAAGAACATGGACCAGAGTGAGGAAAGAATATCAGAACTAGAAAATAGGTTGATACTTGTGTTGAATTACTTGAGAGATAGGGGAAGAAATAAAGTGCATAAAAATACAGCCAATACCTGTTACATAACTGAAAATTTATCTAAAATTACCTGGAACTAAGGAAAAATCAGAAAATGCCACAAATGGGATAAAGACAATAAATGGGATAAAAACTGCAGAAATAATAGCAGAAAACTTTCTAAATATGAGAAACAGTAAAATATACAATAATGTGAAGCATATAGAACCTCAGATAGACCTCACAGGAAAATAACATTGATGCATCATAATCAAAATACCAAGAGTCAATACAAGTTCAGATCTTAAAACTGTTGGAGAAAAACAGTGAGTCACTTACAAATATAACTCATTAGTATTACAACATTCTTATCTACACAAAATTTAAAGGCCTCGAAAGCTCGCAATGAAGTGTTTTAAGTCATAAAGGAAAACAACCTCCCACTATGACTGATTTGTCCTACAAAGCTATCATTTAAAATTGATGGAGAAATAACATAATTCCATGACAAAGAACACCTTTAAAAATTCATAAGCATCAAATCAGTACTCAAAAAGATTTTAAGATAATCTAGAAAGAGACAATGCCAACAGAGCATAACAATACACCAGACAGAATGAGAAATTAAAAAGAAGAAAAAGAGAAAATTAGCACAGAAAAATAATGCAGTGACAGAAATGAGTCAACACATTTCAGTAAGAATTTTCAATGTGAATTATCTCTATCAAAATGTTAGCAGTTTGGATCAAGAAACACAATTCAACTTTATTCAGTATGTAAGAAACATATTTAAACCAAAAATGAAATTCAAAGGCTACAGATCAAAGGATAGAAAAAAACGTTCCAGGCAATGAGAACCTGAAAAAACGAAAATAAGATTAGTTAACATATTTTCAGAAAAAGTACACTTCAAGCCTAACTGATCAGAAATGATCAGTACATATTATTTGGGAGAAAAATGTGTCATTATGAGATAAAAATTACATACATAGATACACCACAAACTGTTGCACACAAATTCATAAAACAAAAAATATAGGATATAAAAGATCAGATAAAATCAGTGTAATCAAACTGGGGACCTTAATACTTCCCCCTGTCACAAATAGGCAGATCAAATAAACAACAACAAAAATCAGTGAAGAAATATCATACCTGAACCAAAGCTTCAAATAAATGGACTTAATAGATATGTACAGTATTCTACCTAACAACATAATGTACATTCTTTTCAGCAACACATGGTATTTTCTCTAAAAGAGACCACATGCTAACTCATTAAGCATACAAAAGTAGAAAATAATTGTAATTGTCTCATACATATTATCAGATCATAGCAAAATGAAAGAGAAAATGAGTAGCTAAAGCCCCATAGAAATTATGCAAAAGCATGGAAAATGAACAATACTCTCTTGAATAATCAATGGATGATGGGAGTAATCAAAAAAGACAATTGGTAACTACTATTAAATCGGGTTATTTGGTGGTGAAGCACGAGGTTGCTGAAACAGTCATGCTTTGACCTCTATTGTTATATTGTTATGTCCTGTTTTAACTCAATCTCTCCCTTATTCTTTAAAAAAATTATTTAGTTATTTCTTATGTTTGTTTTAATTAAGGGGAAAATTTTTAAAAATTAGGATATATAATAGTAACTCTTTTTGATTTCCTATTAACTTGTTTTGAAGTCCTGTAATACTCCCACGATCTTGTTTTGACTGATTAGACTCTGTTCCATTTTGTGTGATAGTATCAAGTTTGAGGGTATAGGCAACTACTTTGAAGGCAATAAGATTCACTAAGATGCAAATTCTGGTTTGACTATTGTCTCCTTTGGAAGTCCTGTAATGTTTACAATGCCTAAGTTTTATTGGTCTTGTTCTCTACTGTTTTGTCCAACTTTATAATATCTAATGAGATAGACAATTCTTTTTAAGGAAACAAGAGACAACGTTGATAACCATTGTTGATAACCTTGTACTCTGTTCTACATCATGTGCTATGTCTATCCTTGGTTTTGACTGACAGCTTTGTTTTGCCATATTTGACTTTATTCTCTCCCCCCCCAAAAAAAGTAATAAGAACTAAGGAGTAATAAAATCCAAAATGTGTAAATTTTGTTGTAAAAAAGAGAGGGGGAAAAAAAAAGAGCTCTAACGGATATAACAGCAAGTGTGTTTAAGGGTGTTAAATAGCTGACTATATTAATGTTTTTGGATCATTGAACACAGCTGTTTGCAGTCTCTCTTTTTGAATGTCTACTTTGTATTCTTTGATACTGTGATTTGAGCAACTATTTCCAAGATGATAATATGTAATCTCTAACAGGTGATTTCTTACTGTTAAGTTTTTTTTTTGTAGTTCTGTATTATGTGTACCCTTACACTGCTTTGTTTTGTTTTGTGTTTTTCTCTTTTTCCTCTTAAATAAAATTTTAAAAAAAGACAATTGACAGTTCATAGAATCAAATACAACATAGCAGAACACATACCAGGAGAAACATAAACAAAATAAAAGCAGTTCAAAAGGAACCATTGCAGTTGTGAATGCTCACATTAGAAAAACATAGTGAGTTCAAATAAATAACCTGAGGATGCATTTTAAGGTCCTATAAAACATAAGTAATCTACATCCAACAATAGTACAAAAAAATAAAGAATTATAGAGATAAAAACAAAATTTAATGAAATTAATACACAAAATAAAGTGAACTGAAGTTGATTCTTCAAACACAAATTCTTAGCGAGCCTTAACATAAAGAAAAAGAAAACACTCAAATTAATGCAATTAGAAAAAAAAAGACAAAATTGCAATAGAGACTCCTGAACTCAAAATCATTAGTAACAACTTTGAAAACCTACATTGTAATAAATCGAATAATCTATAAGAAATCAATAAATTGCTAAGGAATACATAGAAACCTTAAACAATTCCATAACAGACAATGAAATTGAAACAACAATAATAATGTAAAAGTCCCTACAAACAAAGAAAGTCCTGGTCTGCATCAATTAACAGTTCAATTCCACAAGAATTTCAAGGATGATCTATTACCAATAATTATTGAAATTTTAATAAAATATAAAAGGAAGGCATACTTGGAAATTCATTACTGAAAATACTATCATCCTGATTCCAAACTGGACAAGGATTCAACATAAAAGAGAACTTGAGGACAATCCCTTTAAGGATTCTAACCACAAACATTTTCAAAAAAATATACTGATAAACAGAATACAACAAATCGTTAAAAAAATCACTTCATGATCCAATCCCCAGGTGCAAAAATGATTCAAAATATCAATAAATCAGTTTTTAATATATCATAAAAGGAAGCAAGGACAATAATCACAGCATCATCTGAATAAACACAGGAATAAACCTTTATAAAATCCAAATTACAATGGGCTGAAGATTTAGGTCAGTGATCTAAGTACCTGCCTGGCAAGTGTGAGGTCATGAGATCGATCCCTGGTACCAGCAAAAAGTAAAAAATAAATAAAATAAAAAACTATATGAAGAAATAAAAAGATAAATAAATAAAAACAGTTATAAGTTAAATATGCATTTATGATTAAAGAAAAACTTGAGATAAATAGGTATAGAAAGACTTCATTTCAAACTTCTAAACGTCATTGACGATAAACCAATAGTGGGCATTCTTTAAAATTAAAGCTTTCCCCCTAAAATCAGGAACAAGACAAGAGTGTCCATTATTACCAGAGCTGTTCTATCTTGTACTCAAAACAGTAGCTGGAGCAATCAGGCAAGGAAAGAAATGAAAGGGATATGTATACAAAAGGTTATTTAGAAATCCCATTACTATAAATTACCAAAAAAGGAAATTATATAGGAAGTATTTTAAGTGCATAAAATGTAAGGAACAAATGATATCTTAGAGAAATTATAGTCTGAAATTTTTTTTTTAAAGAACAAATATAACTTCTAAAATACAAAATGGATTTCACATTAAAAATGTGACTCAGTAAAGTATTATACTTATTTTTTAGGGAAACAGTGACCTGGAAATTGCAAATGTTATAACATATAATTTTGAAAGTTCAGATAGATAAAGATACAGAAATATAAAGATTGAACTAACAAAATGTTTAGTAGAATAAAAAGAAACAAATCCACCAACGCGGGAACTATTTCACAGTGCAAAGGAACAGCTTGCATTAGAGCTATGACAGGTTAATGGAAAAAGGCATATAAAGTGGGAAAACAATGTTTAAGAGGATCAGAAAGCATCTGAAGCCCAAATAACTAGAAAAGCAGAGATTCTACATAAAGGACCAGGACAGAAAATTGAGTCCGTGTTCTACCTCCACATCTTTCCAAGAGGTATTTACACATGAGAGTGAAAGTCCATGATTATCTGAGACAAAGAGAAGATTACTGCTAAGGGACAAAAAGTGATCAAAAGAACTTGAAATTCTCTCCTGTACCCAAACCTGTGCTACAGAGGTAAAATTGCTGATAACATGAAACACTGCAAATTCATCTTCACTTCTTATATTTTGAAGTGACAAGACACAGAAAGTTACGAAGCTGAAAGTGTCTTAAAACAAAGGTGCTTTCTATTAGCACTTAGCACTGATGGGACAAAAGTTTACCTCAGCAAGGAAAAGGACCCAAGAAATTTTTCATATTTTTTTATTACAACTTCTGGTAGTGATATCAACCACAAATAGCTAAAGAAAGACAAAACGATCATCACAAATATCGCATCCTTGCAAGAAGTTCAGTCCTTAATTAGTTTAAAGCAATAGTTCTTAAAATTTAGTTGTCATGGAGAAAATCATTTCATCTCATACAAGATGGTGTTTACCTTTTCCAGCTTGTGGGCATTTGCAGCAATGGTGGAAAATCATCAGTAGTTGACAGCATTGGTGCCTTGGCACAAATCAGAGAATTGGCACAGAGCTGTAAAAGCATTCATTCCATTATAGTCATTACTGTCTTCATGGGTTGCACCCAACATTAGAATAAAAGAAGAGACACTCA